AGTTCCTCAGCAACTTCTGTGTAGCTGTCAGAGGATCCACTTCAGTGATTGCTCTCAGTTGGTCATTGTCAAGTTCCAGTGGCTGGTCACTACACTCTTCATCTTCAAGTCTCTTGTCTCCTTTGCAAAAAAAAATTTTTTTTTTGCAGTTTTTGGCCGGGACCTGGGTTTGAACCCAGCACCTCTGACATATGGGACTGGCGCCTTACTCCTTTGAGCCACAGGTGCCGCCCCTGCAAAACTTCTTGAACCACTACTGCACTGTACATTTGTTAGCAGTTCGGGGCCAAGTGAGTTGTTGATGTTGTGAGCTATCTCCACTGCTTTACGACCCATTTTAAACTTGAATAAGAAAATTGCTCACATTTGCTTTTTGTCTAGCATCATTTCCATAGTTCAAAACAAATACAAAGTAAATAGCAAGTAATAAGTCACTAGCAAAAAAACAATGTGAGAAATGCACACTAAAATGATGTAAAACATAACCACATTTATTTAAGTATGTATTCCAGCACCAAATGGCAAATTTCAATAATGCAAAAGCCACAATTACTTTTGCACCAATCTGCTTGGGTTAGTTATCTTTAGGACTTTAGAAAAAGACAGCTTCAGGGTGGCGCCTGTGGCTCAGTGAGTAGGGCACCAGCCCCATAAACTGAGGGTGGTGGGTTCAAACCCGGCCCTGGCCAAACTGCAACAAAAAAATAGCTGGACGTTGTGGCGGGTGCCTGTAGTCCCAGCTACTTGGGAGGCTGAGGCAAGAGAATCACCTAAACCCAGGAGTTGGAGGTTACTGTGAGCTGTGACACCACAGCACTCTACTGAGGGCAATAAAGTGAGACTCTTGTCCCTAAAAAAAAAAAAGAAAAAGACAGCTTCATTCTGTCTCTAAGATTGTGTACTGGTGTGGCAGCTTGTTAGGCCATTGGCTGTCAATTATTCTCTCTTGCTTTGGAACCCCCAAGACATATATATATAGTACACCCAAAGAAAAGGGTATTTTTTGTCTATACCAGTGGCTCTACTCTTTAGCTGTGAGGCATATCAGAATCTCTACAGAAGCAATAATTTTTTCATACCTTTAAAAGGATCACATACTCAAACTCTCCCAGAAATTAGGACCCAATCTCCATCCCCCATCCTTCCCCATCTCACATCCAACAGAGAACCACTAGTTTGGACAGTCTTCTCTCAATTTTGGTAAATTATAGTTACAAAAATATTTAAGAATATTCACTAAAAAAAAAAAGAGGAGAAGTGAATTCTATATCCGTATTTGTTTTCTGGGTTTCTGGATAGATGATGGAACCATTTTCTGTCATCAGGGGACTGTGCCAGAAGATGATGTTTTCTTTAATATGTGGAATTTGAGGTTTTGTTGGATGCTCTTTAAGTGACCTCTTTGTTCTCATAGCTTCAAATTACCAACTACGTTTTGAGAATTCCCAGATCGATACTCTGTGCTAGTCCGGTCTGCCCTGTAGACAACTGTGTATGTGTACAGGCCATGTATCGTACTGCCTTTACCTCCTAGCCATCTCCTCCCTTTGTCCTTTTAGATACCATTCTTTTTAACAGTGCAAACCTTTTTCTTTTTCTTTTTTTTTTAAGACAGTCTCACTCTGTCATCCTGGGTGGAGTGCTCTGGCGTCACAGCTCACAGCAACCTCAAACTCTTGGACTTAAGCGATTCTCTTGCCTCAGCCTCCCAAGTAGCTGGGACTAGAGGCGCATATCACAATGCCCAACTATTTTTTTGTTGTAGTTGTCATTGTTGTTTAGCAGGCCCAGGCTGGATTCAGACCTGCCAGCCCTGGTGTATGTGGCTGGCTCCCTAACCACTAAGCTATAGGTGTCAAACCTTTTCCTCTTTTTTTTCATCCTAGTTTTTTTCCAATGGATCAGAGAGGAAAAAGTTTCCAAAAACCACATGCGAATCTCTTTTCTTTGGTGTTCCATATTCAGAATCCTTAATCTGCTGTACTCAATAGATTTGTCACAGAGACTTGACTAGTTTGGGGGGATTTATCAGGAAAAAAATAGAAATTAAAGTTTTGCTGGGATTTGTTAGTTTGCCTCATGTTCAAACTCTAAACAACAGTTCTGAGGAGTTTAATACAAATAAAATGGTAGGTGCCCCGAAGAAAACTAAAGCCAGATAAGGAGACCAGAGTGGTGATAGGAAGGGATATTAGATAGAGGGCAGTCTCTGAGGAGGTGGCCCCAAGGATAGGAGCAAGTCATGGCAAGTTGTAGGGAAGAGCATTCCAGAAGTTTGATGTATTGAGCCAGCTTTTCCAGGCTCTCCTTCTGTTGTCTCTGCTATTAGTTAGCATGCCCCGCTTCTTGCCTATTTGAGACCAAGCCTGGCGCCTTCTGTACCACTGTGCAGATTGTATTACATTGCACACATTTAAGGGCACTGCTCACATGAGTTTAAATATCTCTTACAGGCTGGGCATGGTGGCTCACGCCTGTAATCCTAGCACTCTGGGAGGCCAACCTGGGTAGATTGCTTGAGCTCAGGAGTTCAAGACCAGCCTGAGCAAAAGTGAGACCCCATCTCTACCAAAAATAGAAAACCTGAGACAAGAGGATCACTTGAGCCCAAGAATTGGAGGTTGCTGTGAGCTATGACGCCATAGCACTCTACTCCGGGAGACAGCTTGAGACTGTGTCAAAAAAAGTCATAATAAAATAAATAAATGAGACTCAGCCCCTATGGCTCAAGTAGATAAGGCACTAGCCACATACACCTAAGGTGGCAGGTTCGAATCCAGCCCAGGCCCGCCAAGCAACAATGATGGCTACAACCAAAAAATAGCCAGGCGTAGTGGCGGGTGCCTGTGATCCCAGCTACTTGGGAGGCTGAAGCAGGAGGCTAACTTGAGCCCAGGAGTTGGAGGTTGCTGTGAGCTGTGATTGCTATAGCACTCTACCCAGGGGGACAGCTTGAGGCTCTGTCTCAAAAAATAAAATAAAATAAAATAAATAAATGAATGAATGAATATTTCTTACAGTAGTTTTCCAGCAGATGGCAGTAACAGTCATGAGGACAGGGTGCCTTTTTCTTTTTTATCTTTTTTTTTTTTTTTTTTTTT